AATTCAACTGCAGTCTCTGATCACACATTCCAATTTTCCGTAATTGAATCGCACTAGCTTGCTATTGTCAACCACATCCTATATTTTATTTAAATTTGTCATACCATTAGAATACACAATTTCGAATTTGTTTTAACCTACATCAGGCACTGCCTTTACGCGCTTTTCGATTCGTTTTTGTGATGTGCCAAGCATTCTTGATACATAGGATTACTCTTGAGCAAGTGTTCACTTGGTAAACAGGGCTTGCAGCTTTGAAAAGTGAAAAGGTTGTTACCAGCGATGTTTCCAGGAAAACCACTTTTTGGCAAGAACCAGACACGCTTTTGATAATACTAAAGTTTTAAAAATTGCAGGGAAAAAAATTTGCTGGAAAAAGAAAGCAAAGCAGTACAAATGCTTGGACTATTCGTCCATGATTATCGAGGCTAAAAAGTTAAAATTTGCTCCACCTCTCTCTCCTTTTCTCTCTCTTTCTCTGAAAGTGGAAGCATCCGGTGATAGTTCAAGTGATAACACAGTAAAAATTAGCTCTTATTTTCTCTGTATTATTGTGTTTCTTTTCAAGAATTGCTTTTTCTGATGTGCCAGTGTATCATCGAGAAATTTAAGATTTTACCGAGGGAGAAATTCCCTTTCTGGAGAAACTTTTTTTCTGAATTACTATGGCAACAGTGATTTAGTGATGGGTGGCAAAATTTCTTCATTACGAATTGTTTCTGAATCCTTCGAATAACACAAGCTAATCATTTTGCTGATATTGTGCTAAAACTGTAATAATACCGATTGGTGCTCGTGTTATTTCTACAGACCTGATGTATCTACGTGTCGACAAGAAAATAAAAAAAACTTTTGTTTATGCACCGTTCTGAGTAATTTTAAGCACTTTTGATGAAACAGTTTGCTAGTTTATTCACATGTGAAAGAACGGTGAAATAACGCTGGATGCAAATAAAGCAGCTGATTAAACAAATTTTTTTTCATTGTCTTTCGAAAAAAATTTGTGGATTTGTTTTCTGGAAGAACGCAGCTCACGATAGAAGGGCCTAACATAGCTGCGCCCGACGTGTAGGAGTATCTTAGCAGCGTCGCTAATAGAGGATATCCACACCATAGCCCAAGTGGTTTTTGTGTTTTCATATTAGATTCAATACCTTCAAACTAAACAAATTTATCGTTTTTTCCACATCTTTTTTCAGCTGTTTCGTTCCTAGAATAAACATTTGTTACTTTTTGCAACTGCTGCAGAACATCGAAAAAAGTATTAACCTGCGAAAGGCCAAGGTGGACCGAAGCGGTCTCGGAGATATATATCATCTTACCAGTGGCATCCAAAATTACTACAAAACCGTCAAGTGTCTGTAGCAGAAACGATCCCATCTCGAATTTTCCGTCCTGCACGTAACTCATTGGCGGCTGTAACACGTTCCGCAATGCCAAATATGCGGTTGCCAGACGTATAATCGATGCCTCCAATACCACATTGATGCACTTTCAGTTTATTTTTGTAATTCTAGTCATTTAGATGAGCCTTCACGGAAAGCCGTTGTTATCGGTGTCGTTAAAATCATTTACTTTCTCAAAATTCGTTCCCAAAATAAAATAGTTATTGGGTTTTGAAACAGCAACCGCGTCAAGGCCAAAACTCAGCTAAACAGCCCTAATACCTTGCTAGTAGGAGAGAGCTGAAGCATCCTCAATTAGTGAAAGTCAAACTTGGTAGTTGTCTGCCATAATTTCATTGAGTGATGGCATATGAAGAGCCTAAACTTTGATTTTTCTTCAAAAAGTACTTTTCATCATACATTGGTGCCAAAAACCTTGTAGCTTAAACAATTGGCCAACGCACCGGCTGCCGGTGCGAAGATGCGTTTCCTGCATAATTCCCTGCTGTTTTTTCTCTACCGGCACCGATTTTTCCGGCAATGTCTCTAGCTAAACAAATCAGGATTGGCCACCAGAACTATCAGGAAACACCCCTTAAAATTTTAGCTTTCTAGCTCTCCTGGCTTACTTGAAAAAATTTTGGCGGCCTGTACGTGGGTACAGCGCATGCCCAGTGTCTGGGTTAAAGCTCATTAACACCTACTTGTGCGGGGAACGTCCCCTTAAAACTCTAGTTCTCTAGCTTCTCAGGTCCCCGAGTTAGCAACATACCCGAAAAAAAATCTCACCACTTCGTACCTGGGTAACGTGCATGCCCGGTGCCTGAGTTTGAGCTCATTGACACTTATGTGGACGGAAAATATCCCCTTAAAGTTATAGCCTTCTAACTTTTTAGTTTTTTGAGTCAGCAAGTTATCGAAAAAATCTTCCACCGGCCGTACGTGGGAACCACGCTTACCCTGTGCCTGGGTTTGAGCTTCTTACACGGACGGGGAACATCTCCTTAAAATTTCAGCTTTCTAGCTTTTCGGGTTCCCGAGTTAGCGACTTACCCGCAAAAAATTTTCACGGGCCCGCACGTGGGCACCACGCGGGTAAGAGCGCCTATTTTGGAGATAGAGGCCCGTACCTGCATGTAGATTAAGTTCCCAAAGTTTCAGCCCTGAAGCTTTTATAGGTCTTTAGATGAAAAACTGTGACATACGCACACACAAGCACACACACACACACACATGCACGCACACACACACACACATACACACACAGACAACCCCTCTCAATATGCGTTTCCTGCATTGCACAGCTGCAAAAAGCGCATTAAAAAAACTCCTGGAATTTTACGGTCTCCTGGAATTCTGGAATTATATGAATTTTCATTCTGTTACGCGCAAATCCTAATAAAAAAGGTAAGTATCAGTTGTCTCGGGTGGTTCCGACACCTCAGTAAACTAACTAATAGCAAGTGTAGGAATAGCTGATCATATTCACCTTATCAAGCTGAGATGTTATTGCAGAAGCCAGCGGTAGGCATTGTGCAAGCGATTCCAGCTCCCTGTTTTCTTGATCACGTTGGTTCCGAGCGCTCATTGACTTTCTTAAAAAGGGTGTTCACTACGTGATCGTATCGTTTATTATGGAAAGAGAGCTGATGTCGATAACTGATGCTATGCGTAAAAGGAGGATGAGAAGCCA